TTGGAAATAGTGAAACAGATTCTGGGCTTTGTTGAGATAAGTGTGTTAGTTTTTCAGACAGATTGTTAATTATAGGGGGAGATACACCCAAGGCTGCTGTTGTGCTCTAATTAATATAGAGAGGGTTTTCTTGTGTCTGGACATGGCAAGCCGCTGTGATCGCTTTTAGTCATGCGTTGTTTATATTTCTCATTTCAGGTCTTCTGCACCAACGGCTGAGTTTACAATGTCGTCAGAGTGGCTTTTAAAGTTCTATTTATGAAACACTACACTCCAAGGCAGGACTCACTTTTATCATTAAAGATGGCTCAGGAATGAATAACTAGAATGAATGCAGGCACTTCCACTTCTGAATCTTTTTCAGCAACACTGCAAAATAATACACTCCTACAGGCTACAAGGCAAACAAACCCTTGCAAAAGGACAACAGAACTGGTATTGGATGCATACACACAAACATCTCCGCTCATATCCTCTATGCCAAGTGTTTTAGGGCTGAAGTCGCATGTTACTAGGGTCCCCCATTTTATCAGACCCCCAGGCATGTTTGAATTTGGGGTTGGCACCAGGGGCACTACCACAAAATGGCTGCCATGGGGAGAGTTGTCCATTCACAAAATGGCTGCTTTGGTAAGTGTGGCCAGCCACAAAACAACCTAGATAGGCTACCCGGTGAAGTTCAAAGACAAATTGCTGAAGGACACGAGTTCAGATTAGCAGAAGGTCTAAGATGATGTCCCCTTACCTGCGCCTACCTGTGCTCTTCAATCCACCTGCTTGGTCCATTTAGGACTAACAGGTACACAAGATCCCTGATCTCCTCTCTTTAGATTACTCTTGGTTTCCAGAGCATTTCAAGGAGAGGCATGTCCCCCTTTGTGGGCAACGTCACGGTGCCCATGGGGCCACACTGGAAATTCCTACTGAAATCCCTTAATGGGGTTCTAAGATCTACAGAACTCAGTGGGGCTTGTTTCTGAGCAGACCTACTGTATATAAGAGGAGATTGCCAGAGGAACCAGGAATAGAGGATATATCCTAAGGCCATCATTTCCTTTCCTTAGATTTTCTCGGACGTAATCAGGGATCTATTCGGAAACACTTTACTGTAAGGTGAGAGTAGGTTTTCCCGTTTGATGTCTCTTCCAGAACTACAAGAAGAAATCATCCTTAAGAACAAACTGTAGAAATCACCTTTTGGTTTCAAGGGTATATCACAGTCCATCCTCTACGGGGAAAATACATTTTGACTGCATCTATCCTTTAATACACATCTCTGCCTTTTAAACAAAAAGGGGGGTGGGAAGAAGAAAATTAATTGGCGCTGCAGGAGATGATTTTAATTCATGGCAAAGCAATGACTTACGGCATCGGCCTTATTCTTTTTTGTTGTTGTTTTGATTCAATGGTGCTTTAATTTTGGAGAGGCTGGTTTTGTTTTCAGTTTGGTTTGAGTGCTTAATATGCCAAAAGGTTGCGATGGAGGCGACAAATAAGTTGAACAAAATGCCGAGTCAAGGCAGACCGAGGAAGCCCAAAACAAAGAAATGGGTGGCTTTCTGGGTTGTTTGTACTTATCTGCGAATAATTTAACATATGTGTTAATTTAGCACAGAGGCTGTGTGTCGAGGTATATAATTGGTGGGGCAAACACACGTATCAGCTTGCTAAAAAAAAAACCCAAAATGGAAAGAAAGAAAGCAACAGCAATAGAAATGGTCACTTAGCCTGGCAAATATAGAAAAGGTTGTGTGCTATCATGTCTGTGATGGATGTGGTACATGTGTCATTCCTATTGACCCCCGCTTCAATTAAATATCATTAAGTATTTATTTATTTATTTTTATACGCAGGCAAATAAAAGCAGTTCTGTCTTTCGTGTTCCATTATAGCCACCAAATCCTTTTTCTCAACCACACCCCCAGACGCACAACCCCCAATTTGGACAAGAGGACGGGTTGCTGAGATGCACACGGACACGCACACACACGGCACAGCAAAATCCAGGGCGAGCGGGAAAGTACGTTAGCTCAATGAATAGGACAGAAGGGCAAGGCTTTCCTCTCTCCCTCCTGCCGGAAGAAAAAGGTGGCACAGACCAATCTGAGATGTGCCAGCTTGGGCTATTGTTCTGTTTCCGTGGTTAATTAATTAGCGAGATCAAAAAGGGAGGAGAGGGCGGGCTTGGGAGGGAGGGAGGAAGATGGTAACGATTCAGCAGCTGTGCCACCTACCTCATGTCAATGCGGCCATCTTACAAACGGCTTTTGACTCCATCAAAATGGCTTCCTGGCATTGAGTTACCTATGATTTGGGGTAGGGTAGCCTGAAATAGTTGAGGGAGTCTTACTGAGTGGAATCTCCTATTCTTTCTCTTCTTTTATTAATTTTCCTTCTTTCTTTTTAAAATTTCTCCCTCTGTCTCTGTCTCTCTCTCACACACACACACAACGTCTCCTTCTCCCGCGTTTGTTCGTTGAGGGCACCACCCCGTTCTCATGGGCTTTGAGGGAGGGGAGAGTAGAAGAACTAGAGCAAGGGGATTAAACCAGAGACGCAGCCCCTGGCCCTCCATCATCAGGGCCATTTGCTGCTCTTGCCAATCGGGAAGTTTCTTATCTCGGCAGCAGAATGTCGCACAGCCTCTGTGCGGAAGACAATAAGGTACAGCGTCATTACTCACGGAGTACAGTACATGGGCATAATGCCATGGTTACATGCGGGAGGACAGAATGGAAAAGAACACAGAGATAATCTGTGGAAATCAATCGCTCATGGCACTCTCTTGCAGTGTGCTCCGCATCCTGTGATCACCATCTCCAGTTTTGAGATCTAGGCAGAGCCCATCAAAAGCTGGTGGGCCCAAAATTTCTCACCAGTTACACACAAAGGCCAGGGAACATTGCGTAATTGTTTTACTGAATTGTCCAGGAATAGACAACAGCGTAGTGGAAACAACATGAAAAGGATCTCTTATCAAGGAAGAAGGAAAGTTTTACTGGTTAGCCTTGGATTAGATGTAGCTATGGATACATCAAAGTGAACGATTCTGGTAGTTAACTGGCCCTGTTTGTAACCAAAGGGTATCTAAGCTACAAGATTTGAAACACTGATACTGCCTGGATGCTCACCACACCATCTTACAGAATTCTGGGATTTTGTCATTGGGTGCCAGGCCAAACTGCTATCGTCCAATGGAGCATGCTAGAGTGTTGCATCCAAAAAAATAATTGTAAGAACTTCAGCAGCCTACAGATCTCATGATTCCGTTGAGCAGGGCCATGACAGTTGAAACTGTATCAGACTGTTGCAAGGGTCTAATGTAGACCCACGCCAAACAGAAAGGTTGAAGTTTGGCAATCTGTCAGAGCAACTTCACTTTACCCCAAGGAGCTCTCCAAGGTCCTGAAATACCTCATTCTCACTGGCTGATTCCAAACCTGATTTCTAGGTGGCCTAAAAGCATATCACTCTCACAAAACACAGATCCGATCCCAACATGCCCTTCATTCCAGGTCAGTTTGCCACGGATCCTTAGCCATACAACCAGCTTGGTCAGGATAGCCTTGTTCATCCTTGAATAAATAAGCATTTGGTCACATACCCCCAGGCAACCAGTCTGCCATCACCTACAAGATGAGGTGTGAATGCATCTGCTACCAAGATAATTGGGACACATATTCTTAACCACTTGACACTCACTAATTGGGTGTGAATTAACCTACCCTACCTGCCTTCCTGAAATGAGATCAATCCAGAAATCTGCTCTGTCACTCCTGATCTTCCCGGATTTTAGGACCAGTACTTGATACCACAGTGCTGGCAGGGTGAAGATGGATGATCATGCAGCCAGGACAACTGGACTTTTTAGAGAGACACAGAGGCATCCCATAAACAGAATGTAGGAATGTTCTCACAGACGGGCTAACGCTGTGCCACTTCTCATTCTAGGAAGACACAGCAGGTCTCTGGGGGACTTGAAGTGCAGTGATACCTTACTTGCATTGGTTTAGCAATACCAAGTAAAAGTGAAGATGAGAAATAGCTATGACTGGCTTTCTAGTATTTTCTCCTTCATTCCCGATACCCTATGGATATGGTCAAGAGATATACTTATCTCTGGTGTCCCCTGCACTTTTTAACAGATTTTAAATCCATTGTATGTGATTAGAAAAATACAACCAGTTTTTTGGGTAGGATTTTTAAAAAAAAAAAAAAAATAATAATTCTGCTGTTTCAAACTAGGTAGCAAAAGAAGGAATGTGTTCATTTCATACCAAAGGATGCTTCTCATGACTAAGAATGGGATCGTCTCAGTAAAAGAACAACTCTTCCCTTGTTTTGTTTTCCCAGACAAATTTTCTCCCTGCCGGTTGAGATGATGGGAGCTTTTGTGCATTGTTTACAACTTGGCAATTTTTTTGCCAGAAAAAAAGGACATGTGTTTTTGACAGAACACCCATCCTTTCCAGGGAATGTCATGGGTTTGGGGTTTGTTACCAAGTGTAAGAAGACAGGAGGGCCTGGCGTGCTCTGGCCCATGGGGTCACGGAGAGTCGGACACCACTAAACAACTAAACAACAATCAAGTGCAAATATTTTAAAGGCAAAAGGCAAGATTTTCATGCTAAAACCACTGAGACGTTGCAGTTCTTTTACTGCCGGAAGTTGCAGTTTGGTGGGGAACTTGAAATTCTAAGCTCCAGAGAACAACCACAGATTGATTGATTGATTGATTGATTGATTGATTGATTGATTGATTGATTGATTGATTGATTGATTGATTGATTGATTGATTGATTGATTCCATCCATCCATCCATCCATCCATCCATCCATCCATCCATCCATCGTTTCCTTCCTTCCTTCTTTTCCTTCCTTCCTTCTATCTGTCTTCTCCTTCCTTCCTTCCTTCCTTCTGTCTGTCCGTCTGTCTTGGTTTCAGGAGTAGAAACTGCCACTTGTACTGCGTGCATTAAACATAACCCACCCATCAGCTGTTTCCCTTCACCCATTGACTCACCTCTTCTGACTTGCTGAGAGATGTAGGAGAAGCATCTTGGCCCCTGGGTTCATTCCATCCCAAGTCAGGAACTCTCAGTCATATCTGATTAAGAAAGCAAGGAAGAAACCAAAACAAAAATCATCTCCATTAGACGGAAGCTCCTACTACTTTGGAAGAACGTCAAGAATTTACTGCATGCCTTTCATAAGCAAAGAGTTAGATACACAAGAGGAGTGACACCCAGGCCTTAAAGAGAGAATTTCCTATGCTTAGGTAGGCTGTAAACCAGTTTAAGCATTCAGCAGAAAGAATGAATAAGAATAAGATGAAGAATATTTGGGCTTTTGCACAAAACATTTCATGCATTCACAGAGCATCATCTGAGCAACCTCAGTCCATGTAGATCCTGATGAAGTCTAGTCCCCATCAGTGTCACCCCTATGGGCACTGTGGTGAAATATGATCGGATCATGACCATCCCACCCCCAGACCCAAGGCATATTATCTCAGAGCAAAGCAAGGCCCAGTTTTTCTCTCCCTTGTTCATGGGGATGTCAGGAGTCTTGCCAAAGTGTGGTTCAACCTTTATTGTGAGTCAGCCAACAGTCCTCTTTACTATATGGGCCATAAATGGACCCTGAAATAAAACATTGCAGCAGAAAGTACATCCTGTCGACAATTCCAGATACGACATTCCACCTCGCCCCCTTCGTGTTCTATATTCTCGGCAAAGAAGGATGGTGAGGAGGTGAATCCATTCCGTACTTTAGTCTGAACTTTCAGGGAGCTATTCAAGGTGCTAGGCCTATTTTGGAGATAGAGACAGCAGCCTGGATCCCTCTTCCAAGTTTGGACCGAAATCCAGAGCTGACCTACTGCCTCTAGGACTCCAGAATCACTCATCTCTGCTATTCTGTGGAGCATCCACTGACTCTCGTGGACTGTTTTGCCCCTATCCATTTTTTTAAAAAAAAAATCATTTCTCCAAAGTGTGATCAGAAAGAATGCCATCCATTAAAACAAACAAACAAAAAGTACACCCAACTGGACACTTTAGAGACAAGACACGAATGGTACTAAGAAAACAAACCGCCTTCTTTTACAAACCTCCCTCTCCCATTTCTTTTCTGTGGCTGAGTTTTCTCTCTCATACACACTCACATTCTCTCTCTCTCCTGCCCCTACAGTTTTATCCATCCCAGCGAGCAAAGTGGGAAAACATTATTAAGGAAGGAAAATAATTTAGTTTGTTAATCGACATCCAATGGCGAGAAACAAGAGGGGGAACGGGGAGGCGGGAGAGAAAAGATTTGGCAGTTGGGGCTTAGGACACATCAACACAAAGACACTATTCATGCCATCCCGGGCCTAGGACTCATGTTGAATTAAATAGACACAAATACCAAAGGCATTTACATCTCTTCCCCCCTTCTCCCTCCCTCCATGTGAATTATCATATATTTCTGGCACTACAAACTCCCAGCATATGTGTGTGTGTGTCTGTGTGTGTGTGTGTGTGTGTGAGAGAGAGAGAGAGACAGAGAGACAGAGACAGAGACAGAGAGAGAGAGAACACTCACTTTAGGTACATCAGGCTTTGTCCCCACATGGAATTTTTGTGTGGGATGTGGCATATGGTTTCACGGCAGAAAAAGTGAGGGGAGATTTCATTCACCAAGTTACAGAAGGACCAACTCATTTGGAGTAGAGTTCTGATTCAACCCGAGGCAGAAAAAGGCCCAACAAAATATCAGCAAAGTTTGCAAAGAAATTCCCAAACTTTAAAAAAAAGAGAGAGAGAGATGGAGGGTGATAAGACAAACACCTTCAGGGTGTAGATTTCTGGGAGTCTCTATCTCAACATTTTAAAGTCTACGGTCTTGAGAAATCCAGACCTTTAGGCCTGAGATGCATTTCTACCACCGGGAGCACAAAGACATACTGAATGAGCATATGGAAAAATGTCATGTTTCTTTCACTCTGACATTTCTTTCTTTCTTTCTTTCTTTCTTTCTTTCTTTCTTTCTTTATTTATTTATTTACAGGCGCCTCTTTTTTCTTCTTCTTCCATTGTTGCATTTTTCAAGGTCCAGTCCTTTCCTTCAGGGGAAAGCCTCTTTAACCTTCTCTCATTTTAGATTTCCACATTCTTTTTTCTTGCCAAACCAAGTCCCCTAGAACTTTCAAAAAACTAGAAAAGTAAGGCAACAGAGAATTGATCTACTCTAAAATCAGGCAATGGTGCATGAGAAAGAAAAATCATCATCGGACCTATGCAGAAAATAGCTCACTTGTCCAGTCACTGATTAAAAAGGTGATCTTATATTATATTAGAAAAGGAAGGGGGAAAAAACAATAGCATATGTTCAGTGCCACCCAACCAGTACAACGGATACTTTCTGGGCCTAGACAGCACAATACAAAAACAGTCAGGAAGTAGCCTGGCATACAGTAAAGCAACTAACAACACAAAATGGTGTCAAAAACTCTAGCAAAATATACACCTTGAACAGAACAAACCAAATAATGATTTTTAAAATTAAGTAAAACAGGGAAGGCAACACCCCTCTCTCACACACACACTCACAAAGGAAAGATTGAGCACAATAAAAAAGATACAGCTCCCTTCCAAAAACACAGAAAAAGAAAAAAGGCAAAAAAATTATAATAAAGCCCACACCTCCAGCCTACCAGAATATGGGGGAATTTCTCTCTCCTGTGCCACTTGTTGCCTTCTCTTCTCTCTTTGAGTTCTGCAGGTGGCAGCACCCTCCAAGATAGAGGGCACCAAGGTGGTACTCAGCAGCACACAATAATCCTACCCACAAGGAAGGACAGTGAAGCACAGGAGACAACAACTGCCCTGCGTTCCAATCAACCCAGGCCCTTTCAGAGATCCACAGCCAACCTCCTAATGCTATTGGGTTAAAAATTTCCTGGGTGATTTAACAAAGAGAGAGTGAAAGAAAGGGAAAGAAAGAGGGAAAGCTGAAAGAGCACAAAATGTTCAAGTACCCTATTTTCATTATCATGAATCATTTGTGTTTTAGAAATTCTTTTATTTATTTTTTTGGAATTGAGGAAAGAACAAGATGAAAGAAAGTGCTTTTAGAAATTCAATTTTTTTTAAGTGAGGAAAGAACAAGATGAAAGAAAGTGCTGCTTCCTCTCCCCCCCTTCCCTACATCTTAGTGAGCCAGTGTTCCATACCAATGTAAAACCACCATATTCATGAAGCCACTATAGTCTTGTGGATGTCTCTCTTTTTAAAGATGCACAGTTTCCTGGAATTTGTGATTGTACAGCTGACAAAATGTGTTGCTTTTATTGCCCTGTTCTGTTCTTATAGATTCTGCTGATGCCATTTCTTCTGCTGTTTCCTTGAATCTTTCAGCTTGTTTTTCATGTCAAAGATTTGACCAACCTCTAAGGATGGCGTAGACACATGTTTAAATAAACAAGTAAAAAAATGAAGGGTACTGTTATTGGCTCAGGCAGGAAATGCTTGCTTTTAGATAGCCAAGGGACACACTTATCCGCAAGAAGGAAGGACACTGAACGATGGCAAGTCCATGGCTTGGGATGATATATTATTTTGCCCATTTCTAAAATCAAAATTTCACTGCCCGCATTTTATTAGTGAAAAGGTTTTTTTCCCCCTCCCCACTGCTTCTCAGCCTTATCAACCATTCCTGATACAATTTATAAAACAAAACAAAATGACAAAAGATAGGATTAATGCCTTAAAACCACAAGAAGCTGAGTTTAAACCTTATTAAAACATCAGAAGCCAAGCAGAAGGAGGAATAGATTCAGTGAGTCTAGTATGATTTGGGACCAGCAATTGAAAATGCAGATAAGGGAAAAGGTTTATTAGCTTCCCAGAAGCATCCATCGAAGAAGAAAGAATGCAGCAACTTAGCCATGCGGGGGGAGGGAATGTTCTTCATATGCTCAGAGGCACCTAGTACATTTCTGATCAAGAATCCTTGATGCTCTGGCTGTTTGTTGCTGGCAATGTGCCGCTGCGGTTGTAGCAGATCAGAGTTCTCTTGTGGGAATAAACATCTTGTTTCTTCTTAACCCTAAACCATCTATCCATGTTGGGAGGGCGATTGAGCAGCGCATCTTTTCAGAAGACTGAGCCCATGTTCCAGAGAGGCAGTTAGGAGAATGCACAGAAGCTGAAGCCCTTTACATTGAGAGAAGTCCTGTTGAATTTAACTGGCCTTACTTCCCAGTAGGATCCCATGGCCAGATCCAAAGGCAACCGCTTATCTGCTGGATAGGAGGTTCTCGGGGAAAACAAAGGATGATAACGCTTAAGTGTAAGGCTGCAATAAAGATCCCTGGCTATAGGATTAGGAAACATTGGTGGGGGTGGAGTGAGAAATAAGCGCTAATTAGCACCTAGCCCATCACCTCCCATTAATAGCTTGTCACTGTTCCCTTGATGTAGCTGAAGGCAAGGGAGCTGGGATGTGGGATGCTTACCTGTCTGTTTCTCATTAACAGAACACAGGGTGAGAACAGGCGTTTATTGCCTGCATCTCAGACAGAACATCCCAAACACACCTGCATGGCCTTCTCGGCAGCTCCATGGTCCAAATGCCGTGGGATTTGCTCCGCTTAGAAAATGGGAAAATTCGAAGTATTTTTATTTATTTTTTTACTGGCCATGTGATGGAAAAGCTGAATTGAACTAGCCTCGCCTGTTTGCTCCCAAAGCTGGGTTTGTTTGTTTTTTCCATGCCATAAAAGGGCTTCAACTTTTTCCAACCTACAATTCTTCAAGGTGGGATCAATGGGGGGGATCAAGCGGCATATGGATACTCGGGAGCATAACTTCCTTTACCTGGCTGGCTCATAAACTATCACTGTGTAGTGTCTTCAGGGACTGAAACAGAAACAAGCCATTTTTGGGTCTGCACATGTTAACAAATTGGTCAGCTTAAAATTGAAGTTGATTAATTGATTTTAATCAACAGGATTTGTGGCGGGGGGCTGTTTAATTTTTTTTTTTAGAGGAAAAAAGAAAGAGAGAGAAATCTCAAAAAGTACAATCAAAGCACTCAACACATTGTATGGAATTTTCTTCAGGA